GTTTGTTTTAGCGCGATTGTTGAAAATAAGTGTATCGTAAAGTTGTATTCGGAAAGAATAAACCCGTTTTATTAAGTAAGGACTTGTGTCGCTAAAGTTTCGTCGGAACGAAATTACGGAAAGTTAATTAACAAACGGAGACGTAACAGTACAAACGTCTTCAATCCTTTACACTTCTGCTGGATACTCCAGACGATACTTCGTATTATATTTGTTTACAACTATTTACAGAAATTTAATGAGATTGTTGAAACTATGATAAGGTGCAGTTAGGCAATTATAACAATATACTGTCCTATAAAATATGGCGTTAAGGTCAACAAGATACACTTAAAAAATAGGAAACTTACCGTCCAGTAAAAGGTGGTATTATTGTCGTCAAGCTACATTTAAAGAATGGGAAACTTACCGTCCAGTAAAAGGCGGTGTTACCATCAGAGTCGAAAACAAAAGTGTTTGAATGCCTTTCCTGTGAATTCCAAAAGCATCTTTCTATTAATTTGCTAAACACGAAAAAAAAAAACCCGGACATGATAAAACAGTTTTATAAGTACGAATTGAAAGATTTGATATTTTTTATTCTGTTAGTTTTTTTCATTAAATTGCAAGATTTAGGTTTTTACCACATTTTTTTTATCGTAAATGGTGAAAAACAGTTAACAGTTTACCCTGTTACGAAGTAGAGAGGAATTTAACGGGTTTTTATCAGATAAAAATAGAACTAACTTCTCACAATTTTCAGTTTATTATTGACATGAAAGTTTTACAAAACATAAATCAAAATATTCGAGTAGCACTTCTGTCCTTAAAATATAAATTTCATAACATGCTTTATTTATAAAAATTAGATTATTCCTACACCCCAGAAACAGTGTGAACCTATTAACTCTTCGCAGAGATGTACTAGTTATTTGCAACGTTCAAATCCGGAGCTCGATCCCTGCGGTAGGCACAACTCCTTTTGCAGCTTTGTGCTTAACATCGAACAAACAAGTATCACACAGTTATATGTTATAAACTATTTTTTGCTTACCTTTTCAATCTACAATGTAAGATTCAAGAATAATTTTTCAACCTGTTAAGACTTAAGTAAGTAAACAATAGCAGTAATTGACACCACGACTATAGTGTGGACGAACCATTAAAATGTCATTAGGCAGAACGAACCTACCCACGTATCTAAAGTAATTAACGCTGTTTAAAGCTCTTTCAAAATCACATAGACATATCGCTAACAAATGCCAAAAAACCTTAATCAAAGCTTGTTATTTAAATCTGTGAAGGCATTAACCAACATATCCGTTAAGTTATAGACACCTTGGAAAGACTGTAACCAATAAAGCCTGTCTGGTAATTTACGAGAGGAAAGTTAGACCACACACTATGTAATTTACAGATATTTGAGAGGAAAGTTAACCAACATACTCTGTAAGTTATAGACATCTGAGAGGGTAACCTCACTCTGGATTTGACAAAGCTTGACCGGTTTGGTGATTCGTCTGACAAAACGATTGATGTAGATTGAATAGAGTTCAGACAGTGGCTATTGGAGGGTGACTCACTACTTGAATAAAGAGTGCATGAATTAGTAAACTTAAATCAAAGTCGTATAACCAACCACACACACACACAAGGTAGTCAATTACAATGAAAATAATACATTCATAAGAAATTTAACAGGATGAAACGATAGATGATTCACATATGATGTTTAAAATATAAATTCAACTACTTACATTACTAGTAGCCTCATCTGGCGAGTTATTAGAGACAAACACTTTTTTTTTAACTGAGCCTTTAGTTAAGTGGTTAAATGTTGGATTAACAAATAAGGTCTACCAAACTCATCCAGCAGATAAGTGGTTAAATGATGAGTTAACAAATAAAATCCATCCAACACTCAGCAGATAAGTGGTTAAATGATGAGTTAACAAATAAAATCCATCCAACACTCAGCAGATAAGTGGTTAAATGATGAGTTAACAAATAAAATCCATCCAACACTCAGCAGATAAGTGGTTAAATGATGAGTTAACAAATAAAATCCATCCAACACTCAGCAGATAAGTGGTTAAATGCCGGATTAACAAATACAATCCATCGATCATTCACCCAGCATACAGTAGTTAAATGTTGGATTAACGAACAAAATCCCTACAACACTCACCCAACGATTAAATTGTTAAAGGTGGATTAATAAATAGAATTGACCAAACATTCATCCAGCAGTAAAGGGGATAAACAAAGTAGTCAAAATATTTTATAAAATATCGTTACTTACGTTTTATCTGTTGTTTCCATAATTGGTGGAAGACGACGTGGCTAAAAAGTTAAAAGAAGATTAAACATCAATACGAAAGAGTTCTTTCTTTCACTGCATGAATCATTCTATTCAAAAAGAACGATATAGTTGTTTATAAAGAGTTTTGTTTTGAAAATTCAGAGAATTCGCATCAGAGTGTATCATTTTATTCATACAAAGAGAATACCACACGTGACTTTACTTAGGTGTTAGAAGTTAGAACATGTCCAGAACTTAGTGATTAAAAAACACATAAAACTATGAAGTAAACATTTTTTAGTATCTTATAAATGTTATTATTAAAGATATATAAAATAAATATGTACTCATCATATTAGCAGTAATGTGACGTTTCGCATAGCCTAGATGAAAATATTCATCATAGTAAGGTAAGTAGTCTGGCATTTTGAATAGCCTGAATGAATATCTTCGCTATTAGGGGCCGCTGAAAAGCTTCTTGGAAACATCATCCATTCACAAACAGAACAACGGATACAAAGGAATACCGAAGAACATCATTCATGCCCAAACAGAACAGCTATTGTGAAGTGCCATTGAAGAATATCCTGGAAACATCATCCATTCACAAATAGAACAACTGTTAATAAAGCGTACTGACGAAAATTATTCATGCCCAAATAACATCCTCGTTAAATACTCAATGCTTGAAAAGAACAATGCTTACTCGTGAAGAATTTACAACAGTAAGTTGTAGAAAGAGAAAATTATTTCAATATGAACCTCTAATTTTATCAGTATGGATCCCCAATTCCATCAATATGAATTCCAATTTCCATCATTATGAATCCCAACTTCTATCTGTATGAATCCTCAATTCTATGGATATAGATCCAATATTCTGAACAACATTCAAGTTAAAACTTTGTTCATACGACCAAATTCCAGGGCTAAAAGGGACCATTTGGTCCTTCAAGATTTTTAAGATTACATTGAAGATCGTAAAGCCCCCCAGTGGCACAGCGGTATGTCTGCGGACTTACAACGCTATAATCCGGGTTTCGATACCCGTTGTGGGCAGAGCACAGATAGCCCATTGTGTAGCTTTATGCTTAATTAGAAACAAACAAACAAACCGTAAAATATTTAAATCTACCCTTTATTTTTCAGAAAATCACCATTTTCGCTCTTAAACTCTTATAAAGTACTGGCATCCATTACTGTCTCCAACAACTTCCTTCCCTAAACCAATCAACTCTTAAGAAAAATAAAGTTGTGTTATTTGGAGCCTAGCATGTTTTTTTTTTTTGTTTTGTTTTGTTGTTTTGTTTTTCAAAGTATTAAACTTGTCATATTTTCTTCAGAATACAGCACAAAGAAATATCTGAAATTCTTACAATCACTAAGGCTTCAAAGACTATGCTTTATATAAACATATCTTTAATTTTAGAAATAATTATGTATGCTTTGTATATTTTTGTTGGCCTTGCCCCCCCAGTGGCACAGCGGTATGTCTGTGGACTTACAACGCATGAAACCGGGTTTCGATACCCGTGGCGGGCAGAGCACAGATAGCCCTTGTGTAGCTTTGTGCATAATTAAAAACAAACAAATTGTTGGGCTTGCTATAAAGAGAAAGGGAATAATAACACATCTTCCTTACCACTAAGCTGGATACCAGTACTGTATCTTGGGGATAAATATGCTCCCAACTTCTACTTCTGAATTCATAAAAACTGGCTCTCCTGTCTGGATACTTCTGAAAGCTAGATAGATGACTCGGGAGAATAAAGAGTGATCCCAACGAGCACTTGCGTTGCACATGCTGCCTGGTATCCTCAGTAATGTGCGGGGATCTGAAAAGTTTCTTCTGCCTACGTCTTAACTGGGGGTGAAGGTCACTTCTTTCCCATGTGTCCCCCATCTTCGCGAATTATTGATCCCTTCTTCTGGTGACAATAACATTAATTATAAGGAACGTGTCAGTTAACAGAATTCCTAGTTCTTTGAGTGCTTGAAAATCATACAAAAACATAATTTTGACACTAAACTGACATTTTTTTACAAGAATAATTTAAGACTGTTTACGTGATACACATCTCTTTATTGTAAGCGCTCATTACCTACATGATACGAGACTAAAAGTAGCCTACCTTACTTTACGAACCACGTGTTACTAATTTTTCATTTAGCAACATAGTCTGTCATTCATTGTTGCTAGTCTGTAATTCAGCTTTTTGCTATTCCTCCATGTAAAAACGCAGTATGTCATTCTAACTGTCGCTGGTCTTGACAGTAACAACATAGTCGGTAGTTCTACTTGTTGCTATTCCTCCACGTAACAACGTGGTCTGTCATTCTACTTGTCGCTAGCCCTTCACGTATCAACGCAGTCTGTCATTTTATTTATTGCTAGTCCTCCACAAAGAATACGACCAATGTGCAATGAAAAAAAGGGACAAAATGGTTCATTCAAAAATGTATAGAAATAGAAAACTAAAAGATAAAGATGTTACATCAATGACTAAGAATATCAAAGACATCATAGATAAAGGAGGATACACTGCTAGTGGATATATAAAAGCTAAATATATTCATGTAATTATGGAACGAGTACGAATATTGAAAAGATGGACAGAGTATACTGAAGATTTATTGCACGAAGAGATAACAATATAGTATACCTACTTGTCACTAGTCTTCCAGGTAACAATATAGTATATCATTCTACTTGTCACTAGTCTTCCAGGTAACAATATAGTATATCATTCT